GAAATACAGAATGAGAGGAAAGCCTGAGAAAAGAGCCCAAGGGGCCACATCCTTGATTTCTATCCACTGCGGATTTCAACTTGAGTATGCATAAAACCATCTCAGTGATAAACATGGGAGACGAACGGGAGAAAAGGCAGCAAATCCCTCACAATGACATTGGGAAAAGGCGAACCAAGCTGGGTATTTTTCATTTAAGCTCACAGCTTGTATAGGAAATCCAGCACAAGCTGAATTTTAGCAGAACATGTTACCTGAAAGCATCAGCTTGTGGCATGTACTTCACCAGAGATAACCCAAACTCTCACCAGTTATTGAATTTTATAAGGCTTTCTTTGTGCACGTTCAAGTCTCCTGTCAACCCCATGAATTCCATAGGGTTTTCTTAAGCAAGGAAGACTCAGGTGTTTTTGTCATTTCTTCCCTTGAAATAAGAACCTACAGCACCTGGGATGTACTGGTACTCTTCCATCCAAGTACTAACCTGACAGCAAGGCACAGGATGGCACACAATTGGGGAAACGGAAGAGGGCCCTCAAGAACTGAGATTGGTCCTGGTGTATCTTAGGTGTTGAGCCACCAATCCAGATGATGGATACATACTAGGGCTGGGCGGTTTCGTTTCGTTAATTCGTAATTCGTTAAAAATTCGTTAATTTTTTAATAACGAAGTGATAACGAACCATTCTGGAGCAACTTAAAAACGAAACGAATTTTTAAATACGTTTTGTAAATGCTTCGTATTTCGTTATGTATTCGTTTCGTTATTGGTTTGAGGTCGTTTCGTTATTATTTCCGCATGTCTGGGGCAAGTTTTATAGTTGTTTTTTGTTTAATTAGTGAAAAAAATTATAATATCACACCAACAGTCAACAACAGAGGGAGAGGGAAGCTTCAGAAGTTTTTTTAGCGTATTGCGCGATCGCGGCCGCCATTAACGAATCGATTCGTTATTGTTTCGAATTTGTTTCGTAATTTTACCGAAATTTCGTAAATTTCGAACTTTTTAAAGGAAAATTTCGGAATTCTTTTAAAAACGAAACGCAAAAACCCCCTAAAAATGAATATTTTATTTTATTTTATTTTATTTTATTTTATTTTATTTTATTTTATTTTTTTTTATTTTATTTTATTTTTTTTTTTTTTTTTTTTTTTTTTTTTTTTTTTTTTTTTTTTTTTTTTTTTTTTTTTTTTTTTTTTTTTTTTTTTTTTTTTTTTTTTTTTTTCCTTTTTTTTTTTTAGAAACAAATTTTTCCGTTATTACCCAGGCCTAATACATACAGCAACTGGGTAGCTGTCTTGGCGTTAAAATCTTTTAATACCCAATGGTATACACACACTCTTTGGTAATGCTAAAATATAGAATGGCTGGGTTGCTGTGAGTTTTCTGGGCTATATGGCTATGTTAGGAGAGAATGCTTCTGGAGCATGGCCATACAGCCCAGAAAGTTCACAGCAACCCAGTGATTCCAGCCATGAAAGCCTTTGACAACACAAAATAGCTGATCTGCTAACTTGTGCTTTCAAGGAAACAGAAGACATGTGAGTGGACCAGAACAGACTGTGATGGAAAAGCAGCTCCAGATATGGAAAGCTTTTACCCTGCTCTAAGGTATACCCATCGAGGGTGCATTGGCGGTGGATCCCCCCCCCCCAAACCATAATTTTATATTTCCCATAATAGATTTTAGGTAATCCTGTGAGGAATAATTTAGGAATTTCCTTAATAGGTAATTTAGTCCTGCCCTGAAGCGTGACATGATAGCGGCATCATCAGCATAGAGCCATAAGGGGATTTTCCTTGTTCCAAGCTTGGGCAGATGTCCATTGGGGTCTGATAAGATTTCTTCCAGATATATGAAATAAGGTAGCGGCAGGGATGCAGTCTTGTCTGACTCCTCTGGACATGGATATTTCTCTAGAAAGCTGCCCAGGTTGTCATATCTGAGTTGTAGCTTACTGTCATATACTGGGCCTTAATAAGACATAGAAATCTTTTACCGTTCAAGGTCTTGTCCATATTTTCCCATAGTTGATTTCTAGAGATGGAGTCAAATGCTGATTTCAAGTCCACGACAGCCACAAACAGCTTACCTTGTAGCTGAGACATGTTTCTCAGCAAGATGAGAGAGCACTAAGCAATAGCTGAATAGTTCTTTTGAAATGCTGCTCGTGCCTTGGAGACTGTGTTGTTTGATTTCAAGAAGGAAGAAAGTCTCATACACAGGTAACATGCATAAAATTTTCCCATTATTGAAAGCAGGCTGATCGGTTTGTAGTTTCCTGGATCACTGGGTGACCTTTCCTTATAAACTGGCACTGCAATGGCTTGCTTCTAGCTAGCCTGTGATATTGATTTGAGTAAATAGGACGGCTAGTAAGATTGCCTATCAATTTTCAAGTGGTCTTATTGGTCCAAAATGCAGCGGCCAGGCTGCTAGCGAGATCATCTATAAGATCCCATATCACACCGATTCTGCAACAACTGCATTGGCTACCAATAGAACATCGGATCTGTTACAAGATACTGACATTTAGAGCTCAAAATAGCCAAGGACTTTTATATCTTAGGGACCGCCTCATTCCTTTTCTCCATCAGTGGTCACCTCGATCCACCTAGGAAAATCTCCTATATATACCAGGCCCTAGGGAGGTACACCTGGAAGCTACAAGGCGTAGAGCTTTTTCAACCTATGCTCCAATTCTGTGGAACTCATTGCCTCCATACATTAGAGCAATGTCGGAATTGTGACCTTTTGTAAAGGCACTCAAGACTTGGCTGTTTGGTTGTGCATTTAAGTAATCAGATCTAATTTGCCAAATAGTCACTGTTGAATGTTTTTATGTTGAATGTTTTTATATTGTGTAAATGCTATTTTAGATTGTAAGTCGCTCGGAGCACCTTGGTGGAGAGCGACTAATTAAGAAATAAAGTGAAGTTTATGAATCTGCTGTGCACTTTTTCCACTGAGCAAATTGGGCTTGTGGACCATAATCATAGAATCAGAGTTGGAAGAGACCTCATGGGCCATCCAGTCCAACCCCCTGCCAAGAAGCAGGAATATTGCATTCAAATCACCCCTGACAGATGACCATCCAGCCTCTGTTTAAAAGCTTCCAAAGAAGGAGCCTCCACCACACTCCAGGGCAGAGAGTTCCACTGCTGAACGGCTCTCACAGTCAGGAAGTTCTTCCTCATGTTCAGATGGAATCTCCTTTCTTGTAGTTTGAAGCCATTGTTCCGTGTCCTAGTCTCCAGGGAAGCAGAAAACAAGCTTGCTCCCTCCTCCTTGTTCCAAGCTGGGCAGATGTCCATTGGGGTCAGATAAAAGATTGATTGATTGAAGTACTAACCTGGGCTGGCCCTACATAGCTTCCAAGATTAGATGGGATCTAGTGTCTTTAGGGTATTTACAATCCCCCTCCAGTTACCAATCTACAAAACCCAGAATTCCACATGATGCAGCCATGACTGTTAAAAGTTGGCTGGAAGTGCTGTAGTTATGGATTGTGAAAGGTCTGTTGTCTTCACAGATCAAATTATGACTCAGAAAGACTTGCTGCATAGACAGAAAGCTGTATGTGGTCTAAATATGAAGTATCCTTTAATGCTAGAGGTCTCAGCTAGTGGTTCAAACACTCCCGTACACAACAGATGAATTTCTCTTGCTGCGTTAGACCTGCATGAGCTTAAAAGGTGCACAGCCTGTATGACCCAGATGCTGCTTAGCCTACTTCCTTCTTTCTACAAAGTTAGACTATCGCCAAAGCCTTGGCCTCATTGCGGCCAGTGTCTCTGCTATTTTAAGTCCTAAGCTAAAATAGCAGAACATAAGATGAACGCTGCCTGATTGGATTTAAGACAACCCAAGCTTCCTGTTTCCAACAGAGGCCAGTGAGGAAGCTCCCCAGCAAGGAAGGCATAGCTGGAGTCTACCTGTCCTGGGTGTTTTGTTTTCTAGAGCCCAATAAACTCTCTTTAGCTGTTAATGAGGTGGTATGAGATGACAAGAGTCCTTTGTCTCACCCTGATCATCCCACAGATATATAAAGCCTTCTTCCTAGTTCCAACAGACCTCACTACCTCTGAGGATGCTTGCCATAGGTGCAGGCAACACGTCAGGAGAGAATGCCTCTAGACCATGGCCATATAGCCCGAAAAAACCTGCAACAACCCACTGGTCTGAGATGGTTCATCAGCCTGTAAAGGCAGTTTTCACTTTGTTGTCATTGCATGCCTTTGTTTCTGAATTATGGTCACCCTTTCACAGAGTTTTCTTAGCAGGCCTATTTCCTGAGTGTGCTTACACATTTGAAAGGAAATAATTAAGCAAAACACAGAAAGTCAAGGCTGAAACTGAATTAAACTATTAACCATATTAAAAAGGACAGATTAAAAAGATTCTAAGAAGTTAAACTATGTAATTGGCCTCTTTTGAAAGACTTTCTCATGTTCTCACGGACTGTATCAATAGTGGGAATGAACAAAGGGACTCTTGCTTGTGTTTCCCAGGATATGGATGGAATCTTATGGGGAATTCTAGCCTGCCAGATAGCCTTACTGTTGATAGCCATCTTTAACTACCTTTAAGTCTACTTAAAGGTCTACCACTCCCTGTCTGCCTTCTCTGTTTCATTTCCCTCTTTGCCACCCCAAACCTTTAAACATTTTTGGAAGCAAATGCATGGAAATAAATATGAACTGACCTACCTTGTGCAGTTTTTGGCTGGGAACTTGCATTACCTTATGTGAGGCACTTTAATACGCTACTGTTCCTCCTACACTCCCCCTTGTCCTGGCCAATGCAATTCCAACCCAGAAACGTCTTACATAACTGATGGTTCCCCAATAGCTGTTCATCTGGATACTTACTAAAAGTAGCCCACGCCAACCCCTTCCATTGCCCCAATGGTGAAAGAAAAAACTGAAATGCCCAAGTGTGTCTGGCACCAAATGTACCAATGAAGTCAATTACGGAACAGAAAGACAGAGACATTGCTTTTAAAACTGGGTATGGCTTATCAACCCCATCCACTACCTTTATTCACACAAACTGTCTCTTTAATTTACAAAGCTGCTGCCATTCACACACAATCAGGATTTCCACAGTGTTCAAAAGGAACTTAAATACAATGTCTCACACCAACCCAAGTAAACCAATTTTTCTTTTTCTTCTTTTTTTTATAACAAAAATATAAAGTTGTTCACACACAGGTCCTAGATTACCAGCTTCTGTGCAAAGAAAAAGGAGGTGTTTTTATTTTTTTCCAAAGACAAACATCGGAAACTGTTTTGCGACGCCTGGGTTTAAACCTTTCCATGTTATGCACAAATGTGTAGGTTGAAGGGCTGAGGTCAAATTCATATGTATAAAAACAGGAGTCATTTCTCAGTCTCTGTGTTGACTTAATTCTCACGCTAAGGTGGCCTACATGTATCTTTGCCACACCATTTCAGGGATTATGTAAGAGAAAGTTCTTTCAACATGAGAGCATGCCCTTCTGCTTTGCCATATGAAGAGGCCAAGGAGAAGGCTGGCGCCTCTCTCCCCACAATGTCAGTTTTCCAAGTGTTTTCCTCAGGCAGAGGAACCCATTGCATGCTTCTCTCCTTCTCCTGCTGCAAACTGAAATGATACAGCTCCAAGACAGGTGGACCAGCTGAAAGAGCTCCCTCTTCTCCTAGTATTTGATTCTCTTCCCACCCCCTTGAAAGGAGACTGGCATTGGGTCCCAATTGCAAGAGGAGGCTGTGAGGTAGCTTTTCCATCTTGCTTATCATGTCCTGGCATCCCATGAATTCATGCCTGGGAGGAAAGCAATCCAGACAGTACTTTTTTGTTTTTGGCAACAATTAATCTCAGATAGCTTACTTTTGAATGTTCTGATAACAATTAGTCCCAACGCTTAAGTGTTGAAAGAAGCTGGGAATAGTATGCTGTTTACCTGTTGTCTTGTTTAATGGATGCCGGAGTGGAACCCAGGCAGGCTTAGACTCAAACTAGGGAGGTTTTTTGTTGCAAAAATTAGACATATGCAAAAAAGCAAAAACAACAAGGAACCACAGACTGTGTCTCTCTTATTGAGATAGGGTGGAGTGGGGGTATTTTATTGCTTTTTAAAAAAAGACTCTGGCAGTGTCAGAGAGGCACGGTCTGGGATCCTGAAGGAGAGAGGGGGAGGGAAGACAATAGCAATCCAATCCTAGCACCTTGACCCTTAAAATACAACAGGAATAGCAGCAAGAGGAAACAAAGGCAGCACAAACGTCAGAGATACTGAAGGGGCCACAAAGAGCTGTGAGTTGCTGAAATAACAGCTGCAAGAGCATAGGACAAGCCAACCTTCCGGGAAACTTTATTCAAAGGGGGAAGTTGGGTGTCTTCAGCTCTCCCTGTTGCCTCTTCTGCTCCTATGAAGGTTGTGCTGATAAAGATGACTGGCATGGGCTCAAGTACAGCATGCTTCTGGTTTTTAGTAGCACCCTGAACAGGCAAGCAGTAACTCTCAACTGCTACCAGCCAAGGCAAGCCCAGTCCTGGCCCAGTGCAACATGAAACCATGCCCAGTCATCCCCTATTGCAGGCTAAGGACCACCATTCCTATGAAGATATTTGCATGGATAGAACTGGCCAGGGCCACCATGGGCATCTCAAAATCTTCAGCCAGCAAGTGGTGGAATGAACATGGGAGTGGGACCGTTTTGCATAGTGCCAGTGTGATTTCAAGTTTCATGTCTTGGTTTTGCCAAGACCACCCCTTTGTCCCAAAAGCCCACAGGACACAACCTAAGAAGGTTGCAGCCCTATACCTTTGGAGTGTTGGAGGTAACTGCTCAAATGGCAGCTTTCCAGCTGTTTGCCTCCCCCCCCCCAAACTCCCAGAATCCCTGACTATTGAACAAGTTGGCTAGGGTTCCTGGGAGTTCGAGACCTAAACAGCTGGAGGGCCGCAGTTTGAGGAATCCTGGGTGAGATTAATATAAATTGATATAGCCAGTGACCAAGAAATCCACACACCCCCTTTCCCCTTCATTATGTTTAAACCCAGGTTTTGTTACAAGGCTGTACCAAAATGTAGGGCTTTCATTCTTACTTGCAGCTCTAGAGGCTGGAAAACAACTTGAGCTTTTTCCAGATTCGAAGAAAACAAAGCAAGGCCAGACGTCCTTTCTCCCTTGCGGAAATGGGGATCCAAGGAGGTAACCGTGTGTAGCATTGGAGGGTTAATGGGGATGCCACAGCACATAGGTGGGTAGCACATGGGAGGGCAGACATGGACAGACCCTATTGTCCACATGAAGGGATGCCAATGCTTCCAGTTTCAAAGCTGGCTTCTCCTTTCCCTGTTCTGTTCATGAAAGACCCAAGAAAGAGGGTGAATGGCAGAACGCTGCAAAGCTGAAGCCAGGCATGAAAGGCAGCTCACAGTCCCTCTATAGTAGCCTCGGCATCCATCTGAGAAAATGTCTGGCAAAATTCAGTCTGCATCACCAGTTGTAAACAGTTGAGTTTGATGTAAACAGTTCAATAAAATCACACTCACAATACAAGAAAGCCAGAAAAGAATGTGCCATAGACTGTTAGTGATATCTTACATCCCTCAGGAATGGATAAGCAATTTCCACTGGGAGAGAACCCCCTATGAAAACAGACTTACCTGGAATTAATGGGATCTCAGGTGAAACTTTTTTTTATTGGTACCAACATTCATTCAGACACATAACCCAAACTGATGAGTCAGCAGCCAGATTGAGGGTGAGCTGGAGACATCTCTTTAAAGACTATGGTAACTGAATGTTCATTCTTTTTCTTTTTTTGTAAAGGCTGTCCTGTTTCCCTAGATAGATTCTCCCAAAAAGAAATAGGTTGGAAGTTGACATGGTCAACTGAGGAAAACATCTGTGAAGAGTTTAGGGGCACCCCGTCAGCAACGAATAAAGTCAATCCAGGCAAGATTCAGGAGGGAGGAGCAGACTTGGGACAACAGTAAAATAGAGCACAAAATGGAAACTTCCCTCTGCAGCCTAATGCTGTCTCTGCAGGAGTTCTTCAAACCTCCAATAAGGCACTGTGGTCTAGCTACCACAACAAAAGCACAACCCTAACTGCAGCACAAAGAGAAGAGAGGGTGTGTTTGTGTTTGAAGATACAGAAGTACTGAGGTGGTAACGTTTTTAGGATGGACTGAGCTGTGTAGATGTGTTTGCCCAAAGAACTCTTCCGAAAGACTGGAGTATCGTTTCCTCCCTCATCATCCAAAGTGCAGAAATGAAAGGCAAGGACTACTTGGCGCTAAGAACGTTTCACATTTGCACATGCTCTAGTACAAACACTAAATAAGTTTATCTGGTGCACAAAATGCAGGTTAAGATGGGCTGTACTGCTGACTGATAAAATTACTAACTAGTAATGAGGAGTGTGTGCCATAGGCTTAGTCAACACAGAGGCCTCACTCTTTTTATCTTGCTGCCCTGTGATACAGGAAGGTAGAAACAGCTCTGAAAAACTTCCAAGACTTACTCCTCTTAGAAAACTGTTTCAGCTTGCTTGCCAAATGAGTTCCAGACCCAAACCAACTCTAATGAAACTTCAAGAGAGAGAAATAACCATCCTATTGTTTGGAAGATTGCAGTTTAGAACTCTAATGTTGCTGGGCGGGATATTACATCATAGAAGGATGGAAAGTAACTAGATTATAAAAATTTTGCCATTTTATTTTAAACTGCTGTAATTTCAGTGGCTGGAATTTATTATTAGACACAAGAAACAATGTTCCAATGTCCCCTAAAATCTGATAGTCATCTATTAAAATAAACTGCAGAAGGGCCATTCATAAGATAAATTCTGGTATAAATCAGAAAGCCCAGAATCTACAACTGCATTTCTTGAGTACCAAAATGCTCATCGATTAAGCAGTATGCACCTTTTGTTCCCTACAGTTGGTTATCCCACTTTGCAAGTCTTGCAATTTGTCCTTAGGCATCTCTCTAATACAGTTATCATGTTTTTTGAGTGGAGATTTTCAGAGAAAAGAAAGTAAGTTCAAAACTATTAGGACTTAGTTTAAAAAGACCAAAAGGAATTTGCAAATGGCAGGTCTGGAATCCATAAGCAAATTTCCTAAGCCACAAATTACCACCCAAGGAAGAAGTTGGCTTACCCATGCGCTGGTTTGTGGTAGCCCACATCCCAGAAGAATTTGTAATGGAGATGAGAGTGGATCAGCACAGTAGACAAAAGTGACTTTTTTCATGGCCTGCATTCCAAGGAGCAGCCTTTCAAGAGGCACAGCACAAAGAGCAGACCATCTTCTCCAGAGTCTCACAAGGCTTGCCTACAGATATTGGGATCAACACTATTGTGAAGATACACACAACTATCCTAAAAGTGAGCCAGGACAAAGTATTGGTTTGCTTTTATGGCCGTGATCTAGATGCTTTCCTTCACTGATATGTATCATGACAGTGCAAGGAACAGAATGCCAACTAAGAGCAGTAACAGAGCAAGAAGTTTGTCCTCAACAACATCCAGCAACTGTGGTGTCAAAACTCTTAATGGGTGAGGTCAGCTAGGTCTACAGGTATGATGGCATGTCAGAAACAGGTTTTTTCCCAAGCCAGAAGCCTGTATGACAAGTCTAACTGTGAGTATGCATATGTGTGTTATTTGCATCTACTTAGGGCAAGGAAGAAACTGTGCTTTACACTCCCATTTACAGTGACTCAGATCTACTCAGGATCTATCCTCGAAGTCCTCGAGCAGGTTCAAAGCCAAAATAGACAGTGAACACAAAAGAGATTCACAAAGAGGGATCAGCCTGAAGGTTTTGGCTCTCACGCTCATTCAAGCAAACAAGGTACATAACCAAGCAAGCCAAAAGTCCCTGGTAAGTGCAAGCTTTTGTTGAACAGACAAGCCTCATTTATACAGGATTACACACTCATGTGCGCACACCCTCCACAAATATTATCAACATCATGACCTGTGAAACATGGCACACTGAAATGTAGGCATCTTCTTGCTACAACAGTGTTTCTAATTCATGGGCCACCTAACAAAACAGTTTTCCACTTTTAAGTGTTATCATGAGACATTTTCCAACCAGGCAACACTGCCAAAAACTGTTTTATGAAGGGAAGTGGGGTCTCAGGGCAGGTGGTTTGCCCATCTTGCATTTTGTTTCTACCTCCAGAGGCTCAATAGCAGCCACAAGAACATTACTCATACACAGGAATAGGTCTTAACACCCCAAACGAATCTCTCCCAGCTTAAAACCGCACCAAGAACAAATGTTATGAACATTTTGGCCCAGAATTCCAGTATATAGCAGCAGCAGGAAAAAATATACAGATTTTCCCCAGTATTTTGTTTAGGTGAAAGAGGAATTCCAGAAGTACCTGCACAGATTTAGTCGGTAAACAAAGCTGAGTTGGCAGAAGGGAAGGGGAATACATAAACTTAGAAAAAATAGTTAACAGTCTCATAATGAAATGGGTTGGAATTGCTTCTGCCCTTTTTGTGTCTCACTGGAACTTTTAAGAAGAATCTTTCAGGGCTCCACTTTGCCAGAGATCCTGGTGTTTGACCTGGACTATCCTCAGCTTTCCTCAATGCATGTAAATCATGGAGATTGTAGGTCCCTGGTGAGAAAACCTGAAAGAAAAAGGAAAAGCAATAATTACATATTGGTTTGTTTTCCTGACCTTTAAAACCTTTATTTCTAAGTGCTTCAAACAACCAGCTGTGATAGGTAATAGGAACTTCATGTACCAGAATACCAATAATTTCCTTTAAGCAAGAAAGGTTTCCTTATCAGATGCTGAAAGATATGTGGTTGATAAGAAATGCTGAAAGAAAAGGTTTTAAATCCTACCTGATGCCCCCTCCCCACAAATCTTGAAACACAAAAACAAAACAAAACACAATCCTGTGCTGCCTGAAAGTCAAAAATAGTAGCGTGGATTGGGATGATGTCACATCTGGTCACCCAAAATTGTGCCTGAGTCAATATAACAATAGTCTCCTTGTGCTCTAGAGGAGCTCAAAATGGTGTAGTGTGGTCCTTGGGACTCTGAAGCAATACTACTCTCGTGACATCTCAAGAGAAGAGACTGACAAATGTGTTCTCTTCTGTGGGAGTCCACAGGCCTTAACAATGCCATTATATACTACATAGAATGAAGGTATGCCACAAGCAAAACATACATCTCTGTTTCCAGTTAATGTTCATCCATAAAATAGGTACGCTATTGTACTTTGTGACCCATAAAGCAATTTTATGTCCTCCATTTCCACATGTAATCCAGACTTTGTGGGGTGGAGGGATGGGGTTAGTAACACTAGTTCATTACTTTGGGAGTTTGCAATCACAAGCAGAACATTCCTTTTGAGTATATCCATATATAAATATTAAAACTGATTTATTGAACAGAAATACAATGATAGAGTTGGAAGAGATGGACAGATGGCCATAGTTCAAAGAAGGAAACTTCGCCAAGCACTGAGGCAATAGATCTGAAGGCTGAATCCACAACAACAAATGCTTAGGCCAGCCTTGTGCAATCTTTTTACCCTGCAGGAACTCTTCAAATATTTTTCAGGTCTCAGGAAAACACTGCGTAAAAATTATTATACCCATAATTGAATTTCCCCCCAGAATAATCTCCCATGGAATCCCTAGTGACTTCTCACAAAATCCCGAAGTTTCAGGGAATATTAGTTAAAAACATTCTGGTGTAGGCACAATCAATGGAGGATGTTTTTTCTAAAAAAATATTTTAACCTTAAGTACAAAGTTGGGTTAAAAAGTCTTGTTTTATCTACTTATTTCCAGTGCCTTGGGGTGCAAAGAGTCTGGCGTTGATGCCGAAAGATCAGACAGAGAGTGACTCAAGACCAAAGATTCCCCCTGCAACTGTCTGACTGTATTACCTATTTGCAGTATTGATTGATTTTTATAATGGTCTCCCTACACAATATTGCACAAATCTGGTAAGGGACTGGTGAACTGTTTCAAAGACCTGAAGCTCTATGGCCCATCTGAATGGTAACAAGTTCCTGTGTTGCTCCCATCTTCTTCTGCATACAGAAAACCATCTGTGCAACTCTAATACATCTACATAGGGCTCTCTTTCTTGTATTTTACATTTCCTGATAACACCAGCTGCCACAGCCATAGTCACCAAATTTATATATAACACCTTACATGTTGAGTTATTGTAAACAAACTAACTGCTAATTTAGGCTTCTTCCAGTACAAGACCATATTTCATCCCCCCCCCCCCTCCAAATTTTTCAAGTCTCCTTGGCCATAGCTTTCAGAGAAACTTCACTAGCTCGGATTCTGAACTACCCTTCTCTATGCAGTATTTGTTTCACCTTAAAAATCATGATGTGGTAGGATTTCATTTTGCCAGTAACATTTGAATGCAGACACTGAAAAGAAACTGGTGGAAGTGAGAAAAGGAACAGGAAGAGCCAGAGAGCCAAATGAGATATCCTATAGAGCTGTCTCTGGGTGTGTGGAGGGGCATCATAAACTGCACAATATGTCCATCCTTTCAGGTCTCTCAAATGTGCTGGTTTCATGAAACTGGACACTGCTAAACACAATTGTCCATTTCCACTACCCAAGTGTCAGCATGAGTTGGTATTACATAACGGGCTAAAAAGAACCAGGAGGTCCTGAATTCACCCCACTGAAGCTTACTAAGTGGTTTTAGGTGGATCACCTTCGGCATTACTGTCTGTTTATCCAATCTCCAAAACAAAGGCATATAGAAACAGTGTGTGTATGTGCCTTTATTTATTTAGTTTATGTGACGTCTTTCTTCTACTAAAGTGGGATCCAAGGCAGTTCCCATCTATATATAAATAAAAATGTAATGTTTATTTGTGGAATTAACATAACTCAAAAACCACTGGATGAATTGACACCAAATTTGGACACAATACACCTATCAGGCCAACAAATGACCCTCACTCATAAAAACACTGAAAAACACAGTGGAAGAGACTTAAAAAGCCAAATATATATATTAAAAAATACATTACAACGCATGCGCAAAACCACATATATATACATATACACATAAAAAAACACATATACACAAACTGGGCCACAGCAAAGCATGGCAGGGGACGGCTAGTAAACAATAAATTAAAATATTTTCTACACAATTTAAAAGAGCATCACACAAATTGCCTGTTGGCTTATGGTGATCCCATAAATTCCATAGGGTTTTGTGAGGCAAGGAATAATACTCCTAGGTGGCTTTGCTAGTTCTTTCTTCTACAGCATCCAAATGCTAACCATGGCTGACCCTGCTTAGATTCCAAGATCAGAAGGGATCTGGTGCCTTTAAGGTATTTAGTCCAATTACAGGAAAAGTACTTGTGACTTTTATCAGGCACTACAGGGATTAGCTAGAACATATTTCGATATTTGAAAGCATTATTAAGTAAATGGCATCAAAGATAGATAGTAAAATGGCCTTCAGCTTGGATACTTTTAGTCTGTAAGTGGTTTTCAGAAGTTGCTACCTGGAAATTATCCACTTTTCTTCTGAAATGACAGAGCAGGTAAAACTTCACCGCCCCTGTGGAGACTCCAGCCACCAGGCAGCCTGGCTAGGGGAACACCAATAAGCATTATTAAGTCAATTGCTGGGCTCCTTGCTCAGCCCCCTTGTTCCCCCCTCCTTAACTCAAAGCCCTGGAATCGTGAGAGGGAGATTTTTCTCCACATCCAAACACAGTAACCGCCTTTCTTGGGACAAACATCTTAGCAGAAGGCTTAATTAGCCAAAAGATGCCCTAAGCAGAAAACAATTCTTAAGAGTCTGCACTAATTAGCAATGGGTCTTCTCAAGCGCTTATTTTTTTTCTTGCTGGATTTGGCAAAGGCAATTTTTGAACGTGGAGGTAGAGACAGTGAAAAAATATTGGCCCCTTAAGAGAAGAGGGCTCAGCTGAAGCTGCTATAATTAGAGCACCATTAAGCAGAACAGGAGCTTCTGATTTACAGGATGAGTGGAGAAAAGCAAGTACATTTCTGGTTCAAATGCGGGCTGATGGAGACAGCATGCTATTGGAAAGAGTTACATCATTATAAGGCTCATCTGAAGTGAAGCCCATGGAGGATTCCCAATGTTTTGGCTGGTATTTGGTACCATTGTAAATGTACAATGCCAGTTTCTCTTAAATTATCAGAGCTTTCCACTTTATGTGGGGACAGGGCATGAGAAGAGGGCCAGACCAGCAGAGCAAATCTGAGTCAGATAAAGAATTTCTACAAGGTGAAAGTTCTTTGTGTAATTAATATTTACAATCTAAACTGTATTTGGGCTCATTCAGTTGGCTTTCTGTCACCTGCACTCTTGCCCTAGTTTACCCCTTTATGTTCAATTTGAAATAGTGAAAGAAGCCTGATGCAAAATAAGTATGTTCACTTGGTGTATAATTTGGAGGTGCTTAGGAATCATAAGACTGAAGGGGGGAAGCAGAGAACAGGTAAGAAAAAGAAGAAATTTATTTGGGTCTGTTGACCTGGGTATGTTTAGCCTGAAGAAGAGAAGGCTGAGAAGAGATATGATAGCCATGTATAAATATGTGAGAGGAAGTCACAGGGAGGAGGGAGCAAGCTTGTTTTCTGCTTCCCTGGAGACTAGGACGTGAAACAATGGCTTCAAACTACAAGAAAGGAGATTCCACTGAACATGAGGAAGAACTTCCTGACTGTGAGAGCTGTTCAGCAGTGGAACTCTCTGCCCCGGAGTGTGGTGGAGGCTCCTTCTTTGGAAGCTTTTAAACAGAGGCTGGATGGCCATCTGTCAGGGGTGCTTTGAATGCAATGTTCCTGCTTCTTGGCAGGGGGTTGGACTGGATGGCCCATGAGGTCTCTTCCAACTCTATGATTCTATGACCTCACAACCTCGGAGGATGCCTACCACCGATGCAGGCAAAACATCAGGAGAGAATGCTTCTAGAATGTGGCCATTCAGCCCGAAAAACCTACAACAACCCAGTGATTCCGTCCATGAAAGCCTTCGACAATACTGAAATTTATTTAACTGCTATGCAGTCAAGAGTGCTCAAAACAATCTCTCAGCTTAAAAGATGCAGATTTCCATCATGAATCTATGACCAAACTTCAAGAAGATTTTCATTCCAACAACCCATCCAAATCCTTGCAATTCAGGGAAACCAGAACAAACTCTTTCATCTAAAAGCAAGGCAGTAAGTTAGCCTTTGATCCATTGGGCATCCTGCAAGTGTTTCTTACTAGCAATGCACTGCAATAGGAAAAAAAAAACCCTGCAAGACCAACCATGCTGAGACCCAGTTCAACCCAACATGCAGCTGGACACAGGCCATTGACCTTCCTGTAGCTTGGAGACTTGTTGCACTGAGCAGAGAACTACAACCTGTACCCATAAATAGATCATTAGTGGTTACAGCCTGTCCAGTTTAATTCAAATACTCCCCTGCACAAGAAAAGATCTTACAGAACAGCAGCTCTTTGAGCAAGACAAAGCCTCAGTTTTCTTTTGTTCCCCACAGCAACTTCAGTCTGTGTGTATGTGTGTTGAGGGAAGCGGGGGTTAGCCCTTGGATGGCAGACTGCCTATGAATACACAGTGCTCTAGGCTATA